ATTATAATATAAATTTACAATTATAGAGAATATAGTAACTTAGTAAAATAAATAACTTGTTAATGCTCTAAGTGATAAGTTGGGTGTTCAAAAGTTATTAACAATAAAAATTTAAATAATTATATTTATATTATAGTAACTGTTTTTAATGATTAGATTAAAATATCTGTAATAATGATTATATTAGTATAACTAGCAGATTATAGAGCATTTGTGTAATTAGTTATACAGAAAAATGCAAACTAAGCAGTGCAAACTCTAGATAAGTTCTTATAGCAATATAAATTTATTAAAATTAAGAAACAAAAAGTCTATTTGAAAAAATTTAAGCAGAGAAATAAAACAAATTTTTAATAATACTATTGTAAAAGCTAGCTTTAAAAAATAAATATTAATATAAAGAAGCTAGATAGGCAAAAACTCTAAGTAGAAGGCATTACTAACTAGGCTGCCAAAATAAACTAAAAAAAAAATATTAAGCCAATTTAATATACTAATAGACTAATTATAGTTTTACTAAGCTATTAAAATTAAAAGTCTAATAACAATACAAAATATATTAAAATAATTCAAATATACTATGAAGCAGTACTAGAGATTAAGTAAAGTTTGTAAAAGCATAATAGTTTAATAGTCAGCTCTAATTACAAGTATTAGTTATACTATAGCAATACTAAATTAACTGTAAAAATAAATATAAAAGACTTTAAAATATTTATCTTAAGAATAAAATAGTTCTAAGATTAAAATAATAATCTAAGTATGATCTAGTAATGTTAATATAAATTACAGATTCAAAAAGTTTAAAATAGAACATTCAAACAAGAGTATTAAATATAGTAATTGATAAGAAATCTTTAAGCAAATTTTTTAAATAACTAATATAGAAAAGTTATATGTATAATGAATTGTATATTATTTTTGTAATAGTTTATAAAATTATATTACTAAAAAAATTATTAATAAAAGTCAAAATACCAAAGAAGTCATTTTAAAAAAATAAAAATAAATAAATCTACAATGCAAAAAAAAATATCTAAAAAATATTAAAAACTAAAAAATAGATTTTTAAATAAAATTTTAAGTATAGTAATTTAATAAAATAAATAAGTTATTAATCTCTTAAATAACAGGTTATAAGTTCAAACCTACTAAAAGTAAAAATTAAATAATTATCTATGTAATATATTATATTATAACAACAACATTCTACTATTTAGTTAAGATAAGATTTTAGCATCAATATAACTAACAAATTATATTATATATATATAATCTTAGTTATACAGAAAGATGCAAATTAGTACCAAATGATGCAAATCTAAGATAAGTCTTAATAACTATATAAATCTGCTAAACTAAAAAAACTAAAATTTATTTGAAAAAGATCCAAGTATAGAGGTAATATAAATTTTTAATGATGTTACTATAAAGACTAAATCTAAAAAATAGATACTAATATAAAAAAATTAAATAAGTATGAAACTTTAGATAAAAAATATTATTAACTAAGTAATTAGATTCAAATTGAAGAAAAAAAATATTGAGTTAAACTTAATATACTAAAAATAAAATACAGTTCTTTTGAGCTATCTAAATTAGAAGTTTAAAAATAAAGCAAAGATATGCTAAAGTACTAGAGATATGCTGTAAAATAGGTACTAGAATATGTGTAAACTCTATAAAGACAAACTTTATTAATAGTTTGTAAAGTAGATAAGTAGTTAATAAGAAGAACCTTTTAAGTCTTACTGATAAATGTCATGTTCTAAAATGTATATTGACCTGAGTATTAGTTTAAAAAGAAAAGGTACTATACTAATTAAATAGTTTATTAGTTAAGTATATATAAAAAGTTTATAGTAGTTAAATAATTAATAAAGCAAATAATTAGAAGATTTAATAAATAATCTTCTAATAGATTATAAATATAACATCTAGTATAAAACTCTAGAATGAACTATTCAAATAGGCAATTAAAAGTTACACATATAACTAGTTGTATTTTTATCTTTGTAAAAATAATTGCAATAACTAACTTCAATATATGTTAATAAAATAACTATCATAAAGCATAATTTTTAAAAAAAGTGATCCTCTTTCTAATATTTGCTTATTTAATTAAAAATTTTAAACTATAAACATTTTTTTTAAAAAAAAAACAAATTTTATATTATATTATAACTATATAATCTTATTAGAAAAAATTATTATAATGTTAAATACTAGTAATAAGCTTTAGTAAAACTAATATTATAATATACAAATTTATAATTTATTATAATTTATTTTTATTAATTAATATATAATAGTAAAAATAAATTAAATAAAAATATACATAATTAGACCAAAAAAAAATTAATTGATTAGTTTTTATAACCCAACTGAGTCAAATTTGAAAGCTTGTAAAAAGTTTTTTATATAATAACTAGTTGGGTTTCTAAAAAAAATTTTTATAAAAATTTTATATAAAATTTAAAAAAAAGCCGGCCATCCGGGTCTATTTAAAAGTTTCATATTATGAAAACAAAAAGATATTAAATTTGTGTGACCCGTTAACTAATTTTTCTAAAAATTAATTATAGTTAACTGACTAATTAATTGGTTAGTTAATTAATTGATTAGTTAGTACATTAATATAATTTAAATATAATCATATAAACACTGAGTACAAGATTAAAATACAATACTATATAGAGATAACTGATTAAAAAACTAATTGATTAATCAGTTAATTGAGTAATTATTGATAATTATTAATTATTAGTTATCAACTTAATTAACTAATTAATTAATCAATTTTTGATTTAGGATACTAATTTTACACCTTCCGTAAGATAAATATTGTAGGTTTAGTCAGAAACATAAGTGGTCTACAGATAACAACCGTAAGATATCAAATTAGATAATAATTAGAAAAATAGATATTAGGATGATAATGTAATACAATATACTAAAAAACATTAATATTATACCTATAAAAAGCTATAATCAAATTTCTATCCAATAAAGTTTTGACCAGTGACGTTTAACTCAAAAAAAACCATTAATGTCACATATAATAATTATAAATTGTTAGCAACTTCATATCCAATAATTATATCAATATGATATTCAAATAATAGTGCTTATTCAAATAATATTAATCATTTAGAGAATATTAAAATAGTTATTTGCTGAAATAAATTATTTGAATACGTATTATTCGATTAAGAAATCAGTAAGCTCTAACGCTAATACCGAGTATTGAACAGTAAATGTATTTCTGGTTTAAACGCGACTACATCATGCAGCTATCAATATATTAAATTATTAATAATTAAAACTTGAACTGGATTAGATCAATTCTCTTGATCGCATTATACGAATATTGAGGAAAATTGTGTATTTTTAAGCGGTACACAAGAATTCTGTGCCAGGTTTTGCTGATCACGATCGACAAAATTAAGAAAATTTTTCTATCCCAAATTTGCCACAAAAATACCGTTCCTGATGGATCATTGGTACTGTTCCTGATAGGTAATAAACAAATATTGATTTACATACCGTTCCTGATAGGGTTCTAAAAAAAAGGGTTTCTAAAATACTATACCGATATTACTATAGCGAAATACATGAAAAGTTAGGATTAGGGTTCGTTTTTCAAACCCTATCAGTAGCAGTACTCAAATAAAAATTTTTTAACTCCATCAAGATCGGTACCGATGATCCATCAGGAACGGTATTTTTGCAATTTTGCCTATAAACAAAAAAATCACAGAATTTTGGCATAAACATTATTTTAAATCCTCATCTAATTCAAACTTTAACTCAAAAATCAGCTTACAGCAGTTTTCATAAATTCTGGGGCACCCAGAAATCTGCTCCTTTTCGATCTCATCCTAAGAATCACCTAATTTTTCAGAAACTACTTCGCTGCTCGATACCGAGACAGCGGCATAGCATCTGAAAAATTAGGTGATTCTTAGAATGAGGTCGAAGAGGTTTCGGAAAACGAGCAAATTTTTAGGTGCCCAGAATTTATGTAAACAGCGCAGGCCGATATCGATCAATCTAGCCGAATGATGGACAACCTTTGGCACAGATTTCTTACGTGCTTTTAAGCGATCCGAAACATTTTCCGAATGGGTCGCAGTACCAGTTTGTAAAACACTATGTAGTACGAACGTACGTGCCAAAAAATAAATACATGGATAAAGTTTATTATAGGTGGCCGATATAATTAATAAAATATAAAAATTAGTTAATTTAAACTAATTATTTACAAATAGATTAATGATTAAATTTAAAAATGCTTATACTGTATATTAGCTTACCGCATAATTCTCATCTGCGCGTTATTTCGAGTACGCACATATGCGTTATTTCGAAATTAAACCCCAATTTTAGGTATAAATCAATGCTATTAGCAGCTATAATACCTCTATGATGTTAAAAAAGTTGATAAATTTACGTGTAATATAAATTTACTGCTAGTAGATGCGTGTTATTTCGGGACGCGCATGGGCGTCATTTTGAAACTAAACATGCTATTTTTAGGTGTTGAAATAACGCCCATCCCGTTACTATGTATTACGCGATTATACAGTAAACTATTTAATCTTTATGTTATATCTATATAGTAATTATATTTGCCCACCTATACTAAAGTTTATCCCAAATGCACTTACAGAATTAACTATCAAAATAATATAGTACGTAGATGGGTTTATTTATGTGCCATATAGTTTTATTATTAAACTTCTGATCATTGATCAAATTAATCTAATCATAGACATTGCTTGTTTAAACCACATGATATGGTAGTTAAGTAAGGATTGGAACCACTTAAAATTTTCTTAATCGTTTAACCGTTTAATTTGACCGGTATTAAATAATTCCGTTCCACGTCCAACATAATTCTGCTCGGAACTATGGAGCAATTTTTAAACGGTTAAACGGTTCAAATTCCTATAGTTAAAGTTCATCGTCATGAATATTGTGACTTTTCATCAAGATTATTACATATCTAAAAGCCAATTTGAATCGACACCGTTACTGTTCTGTGCAATCTTGTCACTTAATTCATCACTGTTAGCATCAGGATCATCCGAATCATCAACGTTGATTCGCAACATATCGATACTATGATATCGACTATGTATCTTTTTAGACGTTCCGTCATTCTCTTTTATCTCTTGTTTAATTTTATCACCACCCGTCGTCATAATCTGATATGCATCGTTGGCATAAACTGAAGTATAGGCAGCTATTTCAATTAGCTTATACAAGAAATTTGTCGTCACACCAGATCGTTGTGTCGTAGTGCTTGATGAATTTGATGAAAGAGTACTGTTAGCCGTAACGACGGCAAACATCTCATCCGTTTTTTGTTGCTCTCGTTGCATTAAAAATTTAAATCGATTAAAATTATAGTAGTGGAGATAACTTGTATTATTTTAGTGACAGAATGTTTTGAGGATTTTAAAGTGAATCTTTGATAGAGATATTGGGTTAGCGTTAGGCAGTTCACAATTAGGTCAGGTGACTAGAATTTTCGGGGCCATCCTGATCGATTCATTGTTGTATAAAGTATGATAAAGACCCTTTTTCTGTACATGTTTGAGATGATACTATATTAACATTTCATGACAGAAAACAATTAATCTGATGCACGTGAAAGTTCTAATGTTAACATATTTGATTTAGCCGCCAAAAAATAACTATGTATTATCACGTGATAACGTAATCAAAACAATTACGGAATTTGTCGTTATTGTATTGATCATTATATATTGTCTGAGTTATATTATGCACCAGATAAGTAACGTAGCAGTATGATCTTTTTTTTTAAAAAAAAAATTTAACAACGAATATATCCACCAATCACATTATACAATCATTACGTTTCACACTATTGCGCTTGATTTAGAAAGTGAAATGTGAGTGGATAAAAAAAAAAACAAAAATGTGCACTCTTTCTGATCTGCGAGATTTCGACAGTTTTGGAGTATGCACGTACATACAGCCAGGTAAGGTAGTGGCTATTGAATATTGGAGCCGACTTAAAAACCGACCTTTTAACATCCAAATGGGGACACAGTCTTTCAAATAGGGTGTTTCCTAGTTCATTCCCCAAATAATTTTCACAGGAGGATCCCAAGTTTCCAGGCCAGATCCATCGGCATTTAGCAATACAAGTCAACCATTGCTGAGTCAGCTGGACAGCTTTACTTAGTGAGTGTGCTATGACTTCATTAGTAAAATTTTCAGTGATCAAGTCCTGCCGAAATGATTCCGGGGTGCTCCGACCTGGAAATCCATGTATGAGTTCATCCAAATTTCAAGATCTTTGTCACATGACATTTAAGTCGGATCATTGCATGATATATCGATATATAATGCATGATATTTCCTTTACCGTTAGGTGCTATATATAAATTGCCTTCCCGATTTAGTATTTTTAACGGGCTCGAAACCTTAATTTTTCTGGTTTAATGCACCCTTAAACAGGCCCAACAGAACAAGTAGATCTATTTCCGTTAAAAAAAAAAAAGAATCTTGGAAGCGACATTTATTACCTGATTTCTTGAAAGAAGAGAGATAAATAGACAAAGATGGGAAGAAAGATATCCTACCATTAAAAAAAGATGAGAGAATAAATAGACAAAGATGAAAAGAAAGATATTAAAAAAAGATGAGAGGATGAATATCTTCTCTAAGCGAATTTATAATATATAGTTAAAACTTTTATATCATAGTGTAGTTTAAATGAAACTGCTTTAGTGCTAGTGTTTCATCCTGAAAAATTTCACTGAACAATAAATTTCTAGATCGGCGTAACGTGAAGAAAATGCAAAGAAATAAAATAATGCAGTAAGCCCCGGCTATAATCACATCCATTGGACAAAAAAAAAGGTGAGTATAATAAGATTGTACTTATAGAAAGGTCAAATTAATACACAGGCGCACATATGTTTTGCATTACCCGAAACTCGTATATCTTTAATGTAAGATATTTTGAAAATTTTTTTTATTTAATTTGTCTAAACGCCAAAATTTTACCGTTACCGAAACTAAATCACATGATTCCGATCTACATCGTCAATTTTCCCTGATGCACTTTTGCTTCTCATAGTAAAAATGTCATTGATAGGAATGCAAGTAATTTTTGTTTTAGAATATGAAAATACTGTATTATACAAGCTTTCAGAATTCTAAAATGTTCTTTGCATTAACATTGGACGTACTTTTTTAATCATATAATAATTTGTAAGCAAAATTTAATAAATAGGAAATTTTGACCAATGGTCAAGTTATAACGATTATTGGGAAATATACATGTTGGGCAAAATTTTGGGATTTGGAATTTGACCATGGAAAACTCTGAACAAAAATCTTATATGACAAATTGGACAAATCCCAATCCCAAATCTTATTCAAAATTCTAACATCTATTCCAAATCTCAAGTCCTATTCCATATTCCGAATTTTAAGTCAACTAGAAGAAATGTGGCCATGTTTAAAAATTTACGTGACTTTTTTGCTTACAATCAGTCAATAATTTTACAAGATTATAGGAAAATTTAAAAATATACTGTGAACTGGTTCTGTATTAGTTTTGAAAGATTATTAAATTTGAAAGCATCACGTGATAAAATCAGCCAATCAAATTTTAGACTAAAATATAATGTACCAACATAATGTTATAACAATATATATATAATGTTCATTAAATCAAGTAACATATAATCTTGCTTTATATTGATAAATAGAACTATATTTATATTTATACGTATTATAATTATTAACCAGCTAATAAGTTTATTATTTAAGCTGTTAAAAAGATAATATTTTATAATTATTTTTATAAATAATGTATATGCTAAATATTAAAAAATAGAGTAAAAAAAAGCAACTCTTTTCGTAGATCACTTATACCAAAAAACACAAAAAACATTTAATTATTTCTCAACATTTTACTAAGTAAACCTTACTTAACCTCTTAAGTAAAGTTGTTCAGCACACTTTTTCACTCCCAGGCGGCTGTGTTTCAAGTCCTGATAAC